GTGACCTAATTAATGTTTATAAATATGTAAGGGGTGAGTGTCACAAGGATGGAGCCAGGCTCTTCGCGGTGACAACCGATGGTAGGACGAGGGGTAATGGGTTCAAACTGGAACACAAGAGGTTCCACCTAAATTTGAGAAGAAACTTCTTCTCAGTAAGGGTAACAGAACACTGGCACAGGCTGCCCAGGGAGTGGTGGAGTCTCCTTCTCTGGAGACATTCAAAACCCGCCTGGACGCATTTCTGTGTAACATCGTCTAGGTGTTCCTGCTCTGGCAGGGGGATTGGACTAGATGATCTTTCGAGGTCCCTTCCAGTCCCTAACATTCTGTGATTCTGTGATTAGAAACCACACAATTTCCCAGGAAAAACAGACCTGAAGTCAAATCTATCTAAAGGCATTTAACCCACCAAAGTCTACATTCTAGCATATTCTAAGGCAACCAGTTTCTGTTCACTACAGCTTGCTGGTGCTCTCAGAGGAAAATAATTTCCACTGCAATACTCTAACATAGAATTAGTTGCAGGAAACATTTCCAGTCAAACTCGAGTCTTTATACTTTTGCAAACGTTCCCTGTTGATGGGTGTATGTGGTGGTTGCAGCCTAAACACAGAAACATTTTCAGGTTTAAAAACTGAAGCTGAAGACTCAGTTTAAAGTTCAGTATGATAAGTTCTTCAGATTGTGTACACAGCAAAGAAACAGGTCCTTGGCCAGAATACTGCTAGGGTACTTCACTGGACAAGAGGCAGCGATGACACACAGCACGCCGTAATGCTTTTGCAATGGGTCTGGCTCACAGCACGCTGTGCAAGGCCCAATCTTCTGCACTGGCTCCAGCAGAAAAAAAACCCCAGTGGAGGTCAATGACAGACTTTGCTCACTTGAGCTCTTAATTTTTCAAAGATACTCTTGCGGACCTCAGCATAAGGATATGTCCAGGGCCAGACTCCGAACACTACATCCCACTACTGTAGCTGAGAAAGGTGGATGACTTACCTGAGTTACACCAAGGCTGCTTTTGCCTTGTGGAACCACAGAGCATCAGGACAGCACAGAGGCAGCTCAAACCCATGAGACCTGCTCAGTTCTGACTTTGCAACTGTTGTCACTGTCCTAAAGAGATTATAGGCTAAATTTACATATGATATGATAAACTGAAATGACACTCCACTCAGGCAACAACATGGCAGAGAACAAAAGGTATAAGCAGAACTACTGAAGCATGAGCTCCAAGAACAGTGGTTCTAAAGGCATCCGCTCACTCGTGATCAGCATGAGGCACTCAGGAGATTTTAGTTGTATCTTAAAAGGTTGTAATATCGCTTTTACTCTCACCTTTATTTATATTTAAATATGACTCTACAGAAATACTGGCATTCC